AATGCACAATTCTTGGAAAATGATTACATCCTGAACAATCATCGTCAGGAAATTGTTCTTGATGAGGAGAGCTCGGATGTAGTAGGAGGTGTCCCACAAGTTCAAGGTAGTGACCAACTTAGAAGATCCACTCGGGCATCCAGGCCACCAGTCCGTTATGGTTATGACCAGGATAGTTACCTGGTGGAAGGTGAGGAGGATCTCGTGACTTATGCGGAGGCTATGTTGGACATAGACTCCCTTAAGTGGGTAGATGCCATGAGAGCTGAGATGGACTCAATGGAGACCAATGGAGTCTGGACTCTAGTAGATCCGCCCCCTGGGGTAAAAGCAATTGGTTGCAAATGGATCTATAAGAGGAAGAAGGGCCCCGATGGCAGGGTTGAGACCTACAAAGCTCATCTGGTGGCGAAAGGGTACATTCAGAAAGAGTGCATCGATTATGAGGAAACCTTTTCACCTGTGACCATGCTCAAATCCATTAGGATCCTGTTAGCTGTAGCAGCATACCATGACTACGAGATTTGGCAAATGGATGTCAAAACTGCATTCCTGAATGGAGATCTTACTGAAGACATCTATATGCAGCAGCCGCAAAGCTTCATAGCTGCGGGTCAGGAACACATGGTATGTAAACTAAATAGATCCATATATTGACTTAAGCAAACTTCTAAGAGTTGGGACATCCGATTTGACTCTACTGTCAAAACGTTTGACTTTGAGCAGAATCCGGATGAGCCTTGTGTTTACAGGAAGACCAGTGGGGACAAGGTTACGTTCTTGGTTCTGTATGTAGACGACATTCTACTCATTGGGAATGATGTAGGAATGTTGACTATGATGAAAGTGTGGCTTTCACAGTAATTCTCCATGAAAGATCTTGGAGAAACCTCCTATATACTGGGTCTTCGACTCTATAGAGATAGATCGAAGCGGATTATCCCAATCTGCTTGCATTGACAAAATTGTCAAGAGATACAACATGGAGAACTCCAAGAAGGGAAATGTTCCTTTCAAGCACGGAGTCACTCTCTCCAAGAAGATGTCTCCCAAGACCTCTGAGGAGATTGACGGCATGAAGGACGTTCCCTATGCCTCAGCCGTAGGGAGTATGCCATGCTGTGCACTCGTCCTGACATTGCTCAGGCAGTGAGTGTGGTAAGTAGATTTTAGGCCAATCCAGGGCAGGAGCACTGGACTGCTGTGAAAAACATACTTAAGTACCTTTGAAGGACAAAAGAGTTTTGTCTGGTATTCGATGGTAGTTCACTACAGATCCAGGGGTATACTGATGCCAATTTCCAGTCGAATCCAGATGATAGAAAGTCTACATCTGGGTATGTTTTCACGAAAGGATCGTGTGTTGTTTGCTGGAAAAGCAGCAAACAGGGGTCCACAGCAGACTCCACAACCGAGGCCGAATACATTGCCGCAAGTGAAACTGCCAAGGAAGCCGTGCGGATGAAGAAGTTCGTTCACGAATTGGGAGTAATTCCATCCAGCACATCACCCGTCCCGTTGTTGTGTGACAACAATGGAGCGATTGCTCAGGCTAAGGAGCCACGAGCCCACTCGAAGTCGAAACACATCGAGAGGAAGTATCATGTACTGCAGGAGATTGTTGTTTAAAGGGATGTCCTGATTCAGAAGGTAGCGTCAGCGGAGAATGTAGCAGACCCATTGACTGAGCCACTGACACAAAAAGTGTTTGAGAAACACGTGGAAAGTATGAGACTCCGGTTTGTACCAGATTGGACCTAAGTGCAAGTGGGAGTTGTTAGACAGTTGTATGCCCTTAGCTCCAATCAGAATGATGTACATTATGAATTTATTGTAAATGAATAAAGTACATATTTGATTC